GAGCAGGCACGAGTGACCCCCGCACGGGGTGATGCTCAGGGACACCACACGCGTGGGTCCGCGCCCTCCATACCAGAGAAACGCGCCTGCGATTCTCCTCCTGTCGTGAGGACACCCGGAACCCCTGCGAAAGCTCCATTCTCCACCGCAGTTTTGCTCCCCTGAGCTCTCTCCTGGAAGCCGATCACAGGCAGGGGCTGCCCCGCGGATGAGGCGGGGGGAGTTCCGGCCCCGCTCCTCCCTCAGCACCAAAATCCTCCTGCAGCGACCCCACAGACCTGCYGAGCTTCCCGTAACCCCGGGGCAGCTCGGGAGGGATGGAGCTTGAGTTTTAGGTAATTGCTTTTAGTTTAAATTAAAATGAAAAGATTTTAGGGAAGGGGAATCCAAGGAACTGCTCAGAGAAAGCTGTGGGAGCTGCATCCGTAGAGCTGTGTTGAAAACTGTATTAATAGAGTTTTCTAGTGAGGACAGATCATGGAGGAAAGGATCTGATAGGTCATGGAGGAAGGGATTGCTGCTGAGGAGGCTCCTTTGGTGCAGAGCTCCTGGGTGCACTGGGATTCCCCTGGATCCCCGTTTATTTGCAGTCTAAATTAGCGTTTTGCCAGAGAGCTGTTGGCATGGCAGCACAGCTGCTAGCTTCCAACACTAGTAATACTTTGTCTGTTAACACCTCACATCTATTTTTGGTTCATGTAATATTTATACTGAACTGTTAAAAAAAATACAAAATTTATTATTATGTTTATTAAACAATAGTAGTTATTGTTAAATAATAGTTTTCATTGTCATTATTATTATTATAGAACCAGTTATTATTTTGAATAATTTTATTTTTAAAGATGATCCACTGTCATATTGCGTTTTTCTGGCCTAGGCTCCATGAGCTATCTTAGTTCAGGATATTTTAGACATGACATTGAGTGTAAACAGGGAATCAAATTTGTTGTTGAAGATACAGTTGCTTTTTCATACACAGAGCTAATATTTTTGTGTACAACAGCATCACAGTTTYGTTTTTCAGCACTTACACCACTTTCTCCTACATTACAGACAGGTACTTGTGGTTTGACTTTTGATATTGAAGGCTTGAGTTTTAWTGCAGAAGCTGCTGGAAACACTCACATCCCATCCTAACTTGTGTGACTCTGGCTCTCTTCCAGCYTCTGGGGCTCTTCAGGCCTCTCCAGGGCAGCAGCACATCCCTTCCTTTGGCTGGAGGGAGAATTCCATCTCACACAGGTTTTCCTCTGACACAAAGTTCTAKCCAAGTGTCTGGTTAAGTTTTAGTTTTGCTAGATTTGCTCTAAAAAAGACCTGCAAAGCAAATTGAACTGGGTCTCAGAGCTAAAAGGGGAGGGAGAGAGAAGTTTGGAGATGAGGAATATGGGGGCAGTGAACTTCAAACGTGGAGTTAATTTTGTTCTCTACCCTAGTGTGAGTCAAGGGGCCTTAGAACTCCCCATTCTTGGTGCCTGAGAACATCTTGTTCATCCCTGCAAACACTTGACCTTTTCTTTCTCATTGCCCAATTTCTTCCTTCTGCTCTGGATTCACAGAATGCAGAAATATCACAATATTTGTGCAACAAGAGCTGATTCTGTCTGCAGTCACTCTGCTAGGAGTGGAAGCACTTGGAAGAAAAACACATAAATGTGTGTTAAAAGTGAAGTTTAAAAGTGTGTTAAAAGTGAAGTGAGGAAGAAATCTGGGTGTTGCTTTTTACACACAAGCAGGAGTGCAAGGACACCCTGCAACGCCGGGCAGACCATGGGGTTTGTGAATTGGTTTTGTCCCTCTGACTGTGGCTCCTTAAAGACCAGAGCAGGTGACACAAGGCCTTTGGTGCTGGTGGAGGATCTCAAGCACCTGAAATAATTCTGTAGAGCCTTCTGCCTTTGCTCTCAGGTGAGCATGCTCCCRTTCAACCTGACCACTTTTACACCAGCCACATTCATCCTGGCTGGGATCCCAGGCATGGAGCAGCTGCATGTCTGGCTCTCGATCCCGTTCTGCTCCATGTACCTGGCAGTCCTGCTGGGAAACGGCGTCCTGCTGTTCGTGGTGTGGACGGAGCGCAGCCTGCACCAGCCCATGTACCTCTGCCTGTACGTGCTGGCCATCGCTGACCTCGCACTGTCCACCATGGTGGTGCCCAAGATGCTGGCTCTGTTCTGGTTCTGTGCCAGGGAGGTTTCCTTAGGTGCCTGCCTGACCCAGATGTTCTTCCCTCACTTCACCTGCTCGGCGGAGTCGGTGATCCTGCTGGCCATGGCCTTYGACCGCTTTGTYGYCATSTGCTTCCCCCTGCRGTGCGGGTCAGTGCTGACCCTGTCAGCTGTGGCCAAAGCAAGGCTGGTGGCTTTGCTGAGGAGTTGCTGCATCATTTTCCCCTGCATTTTCGTCCTGAGGCAGCTGCTGTTCTGCGGGCACAGCTGCTGTGAGCACAYGGCCATCRCCYGCCTGGCCTGCGCCGACATCTCCATCAGCTTCTGGAACGGGCCGTCTGTGCCCTTCACCGTGGTCTTGCTGGACCTGATCCTCATCGTTGTCTCCTACAGCTTCATCCTTCTGGCCCTCTTCAGGCTCCCCTCCGGGGCTGTCTGCCACAAGGCTTTCCACCCATGCAGCTCCCACGTCTGCATGTTGTTCCTGTTCTACACCCCCGCTGCTTTCACAGCTCTAACTCTCCGCTTTGGTGGGAGCATCCCCTGTGAGGTGCACATCCTGCTGATTAACCTGTACATGCTGCTCCCGCCGCTGCTGAACCCCATCATGTACGGGGCGAGGACGCAGCAGATCAGGGACAAGGTTGGCAAGGTGTTTGTCTGCCCCAAGAGCCAAACGAAGAGTGAAAATGATGGACACCTAAGGGACTCCCAGCCCCTGCCCTAARTGCTCTTTCAGCTCTTTCAGGCAACATCTGCAAATCTTCTGCTACCCCAGCCAAATACAGAACACCCAATATCCTCACATCGCTGTCCCCAAGTTTGTGGAAAATGCAAGATAAAGGCAAAAATCAAGATCTCTGATTGGCAATGGAAGGAGAGTGATTAAAGAAATGAGAACCTACCCCAGGTATGTCAGCTTTGGGAAATCCCAAAATCCCAGATTCACAGAGTAGCTGGGGTGGAAAGGGACCTCCAGAGTTCAACTCATCCAACCCTCCCACTCCAGCAGGTTCAGCCAGAACAGGTCACACAGGATCACATCCAGGTGGGCTTTGAACACCTCCAGAGAAGRAGACTCACAGCCTCTCTGGGCAGCTGTTCCAGTGCTTGGTCACCCACACAGTAAAAGAATATTTCCTCATATTCAGCTGGAACTTCCCACGTGCATCCCCGTGAGGAGGAGGTAGGTGGAATTCCAATGTGGTGTGACAATAAATCTCCATCTCAGCTGAGTCCTCTGGAGTCAGGTGGAAGGACATACAATGAATGTGTTCTTTTGAATGACACATGTATAATGAAATTAATCTTTGAGATTTATTCTTTATWAAAATTCATAGTGTTGAAAAATCTSCAAAAGGAATAATACAGAAATAAAAGCAAATGTTGCACTTCAGCATTCATGGGGTGTCTTTATTCCTTAACTGTATCATTTGATCTTACTTTGAGTAAACATGTCAGTGAAAAATCACTCTCAAAAGAATCCCAGAATGCTGTTGAAATAAATTGTTGTTATCGAATCCTAAAAATGCTCTTGCTTCAGAGTAGCTGCTTTCCTGGAGCTTAAAAATCTCTTGGGCATCAGTTTGGAACAGCAACTGGAGGCATCAGAGCAACACGTCCCCCAAAGCAGAGCTGCAGCACTGGTCAGGGCTGCKGAGAGTCTCAGAGCAGCCTGGTGCAGTGAGCCGTGTGACTGAGCACGTTACTCTCTCTAAAAATAGCCCCCCCGAAAATCTAAAGCCATTCTGAGATGGAACATAAGTGTTCTCTTTCAGCAGCTTGACTTCATTTCTTGCTGCTTGAAGGTAACACACGGGATTGATATTTTGTTTAGAGATGTAATAGAAAGGATGACCCTCGCTGCCTGTTCAAAGCTGGCTGTGAGACATCAGAAGGCTGACACCGGCCTCCAAGGCCTCCAGCCAGGGCTGGTTCCAGTAGCAGCCACATGTATAATTCATTGTTTTCTCTACAGCACTGTGCATTTAATTCRTCATCACTTTATGGCTCGTTTCATGGCAGCAGCTTAATGTTCCAGTCSAAATTCATCCACACAGTCACCCAAGGGGAGACCCAGAGGCTGCCAGTTTGTGAAGGCAGAGGGACAGAAGTGGTGTTTATTCCCATTTTGAGCAGTATTTATTCTCATTCTGAGCAGCAAAGATGAGTTCAGTGATTTGCCTAAGGTGTATCAAGCCTCATTTTAGCAACTAAATGGATTAAGGGGTTTTTTTTGTGGCAAAAACCTAATTTTTTAGACCCTTGGTTGCAGTMAGAGATCTTGGCAGGTTCACCTCCTCTGCCTCGGTGCAGGGATCACAGTTCATGATATGCCTCACTTCCACCCCAAAAAATATTAGGGTTAAAGACAGGGGAATTGCTGGTGCAGCCATGGCCCTGGTGGGGAACACTGTGACCAAAATGGTGCCTTGAAAATGAGAMAGGTGCTGGTGTGCAAAGCAGGAATGCAATGAGAGATTCCTTGTCTTGCTTCGTATCCCAGATTTAAAAACAAACCCAACTACCTCAGTTCCAAAACCTGACAAGTTTCAATTGGCTCTTGACCTTGCAAAATTTCTGTGCAAAGGCTCCAGCATGGTCACAAAAGCTGCCAGGGAGAAAGAAACTGATGCTGCATTACTTAAAACCAGCACATTTAGAGCATTTCACTGTTTCCCCRGAAAACAGACCTGATGCATTTCTTTTTGCCAGGCATCACAGATTCTATTGAATTTTGAGGTAAGAAACAAATCTAAATTTTGCTTTGGTTTCCAGTGTTTAAGTTGCATTAGGTCAGAGATGATCTTTACAGTCCCTTCCAAACCCAACCATTCTCTGATTCTATAAACTCTTCATTTGGGTTTATTTTATACCAAAACTGTGCTCTCTGCCTGTAAAACACAATAAATCCTCGTGGGTGTGTGTCAAACCCAGGCTGCTGTTTTGATGTAGGTTTGTCTTAGGGATGTGTGTCCTGCCCTGCACATCGATCCTTTAGAGAAGAAGAAAGGAGTGATTTTCTGGGGTGTCTGGAGAATTTAGCCAACAACGCCTCGCTGATCAATAAACCCTTCTGCATTCAGCTGGTGCTCTCACTGCCGGCACAAGGCGTCCCTGGCCCACAGCCTGCACAGGAAAGCGGGGCAGGAACGATCCCTGTGGGCTCAACCCAGCGAGGGGTGGGGGGGGCTGAAGGGTTTCCCCAGTGGGACCCCACAGAGGCTGGACCTACAGAGCGAAGTTAGGAAATATCACTGGGATCCCAAGGTCACCAGTGCTGCTGCTCAGCTCCAGTTTCTTAAGGGTTAGGAGGGACCTCAAATCCCACCCAGTGCCACCCCAGCCATGACAGGGACACCTCCCACTGTCCCAGGCTGCTCCCAGCCCCAATGTCCAGCCTGGCCTTGGGCACTCAAAGGGATCCAGGGGCAGCCACAGCTTCWCTGGGCACCCTGTGCCAGGSCCTGCCCACYCTCCCAGGGAAGAGTTTCTTTCCAATATCCCACCTAAATCTCTGCTCTCTCAGTTTGAAACTGCTGCCCCTTGTCCTGGCACTCCAGGCCTATATAAAAAGACACTYTCCTGCTTTTTCATGAGTCCTCTTTTCATTACAGCAATAAAAAATGTTCTTATGCCAATGAACCATTTTTTCCATGATTAAGATTTGCTCATCTTTGTATCACTGAGTCACTGGCACTCGGACACGTGTGTGTCAGAGAGATCCTGCAGTAACGCGCTCCTTCCAGCCAAGCTCAGCCCGTCCCACCCCGGGCAAGGCTGATCCCACAGTGTTCTGCTGCTCAGCCCCCGTGAATTCCTGCTGTGGGGCACAGCAGCCCTGTGGGGCTGTCTGGAAGGGCTGGAAGGTCACACTGGCTCCTTGGGGTGTCCCAGCTGGGGATGGGGCTGTGCGACAGTGCCACCACCAGCTCCAGAGAAGAGATTTTACCTTTTGATCAGCGCGTGTGCGACCACATMTGGAAGGCTTTTCCAGCTCTGGATCCTTCCAGGCACACGAAAGGGAAAATAAACTGGAAGCAATCCAAGAGGGTTGGGTGGATGGTGCAACTGGGGCTCCTGACCAGCAGAAAAGAAGGCAAAAGCTGTGTCCAACAAAGTCCTTCAATTCCTGAAAGAGAGTGCAGGGAAAARAATGGAGTCAGACTCATCTGAGGTGAAAGAGGGAGGGTGGAAAAGTTGCAATAGGAGAAAACTCTGTTGGAAAACAGAGGAAAAATTCTTCTTCATATGGGTGGGACCTCAGTCCTTGGAAAGATAAAACTTAGATACAACCAGAGCTCCTTCTTCAGGGTGCAAACTGTTTACTTGCAAGGACACAACAGGTTCCAACTATAAAAACTTGTTTTCCATTTTAAATTTCTATCCCTGCCAATCCTGACTGGGAACTTTACACCTGAGTTCAGACAATTTGAGAGCTAAAAGAAAAGTTGAATTGATCTAAAACTTGTCCCCAGTCTTGTGGTGGATATGACGTCTGCCCAGTACCACGCCCCAGCCTAACATCACTCAGTGACTGCAGACACAGTTACACAGAAATGGGATCAAATGAGACACTGCTGGTTTGAAAACCTGAAAATAAAAAAGGACAGATGACAAWTTTTTTGTCTCTTGGGACCCTGAAGCTGAGGACAGAAGTTCTTTGGAGATGCACTCCTTGCCTGAAGCCCATTGCAGGAGCTTGGTGGGTAAATGGGTCATGAAATTCCTCTGGAAATGTGATGCAGGATGTCAGAACAGATCACAGTGAACTTTTCCAGATCTAATATTTTCTAACACTCCTGTAACTAGGAACAAACCCCACATGAATTAATGTATTAATTAGAACAGAGAGAAGGGAATAAATGCTCTTTCCATACTTGGCCCTTGAGTACCATCAGCAGAACCTCTCAGCAGTGAGATCAGGCTCTGCAAATGCCCCCTGAGTATCAAAGCACTGCCATGGTGTTTTGGAAATGTCCCAAAGGGGACCTCTGTGATTCATGCTCTGGTGTTTTGGAAATGTCCCAAAATCTGTGTGGCTGAGGCTCAGTTTGGGCTGTGGTGAGAAAGTCCAATCCTGACTCACTGAGACCACAAATAGCCACTAAAATAAGTGGTCAGTGGGTCTGCTGAGGCCTGGCTTTGGCTGTGTGTGGGTGGAAGGGTGATGCTCTCAATGCTGCGTGCTGGGAGCCGAACCTGGGGTGGGCAGAGCTGTCACTTGTCCCTGTTCTGGGCATGCTGTGGCATTTGGAGTTCATTAATGTGTCATGGCCAGGTGAGACYGGTGTGTAGAACTGCTCTGATCAGCTGCAAGTCTGGAATTTCTTGATGGAAATGTTTGTCCAGCCCTGGCATAGGCTGCTCAGGACAGTGGTGGAGTCAGACCCCTGGAAGTGTCCCAAAAAACCTGTGGGTGTGGCACCAGGGGATRTGGTCCAGTGGTGCTGGGGTGATGGATGGACTCAGTGACTGTAGGGATCTTTTCCAGCCTCRGTGATCCCATGGGTCCRTGATTCTGTGAGACAACATCATTGGGCTTCCCAGCCTTTGCAAGGACACCAGATTATCTGTGCTGCCCTCTCAGCTTTTAGGGTGTTGGATTCAATGAACAGCATTTTAAATGATGCTTCACGGGGCCCGGGACCCCATGGACCGGAGGCAGAACTTCCTTCTCGTGCAGCAGCCCACGAGTTGTTTCACCAAACTGGGTGAAGGTGATGGTTGAAGGACTCCCCCCTCCCTGGCCCCAGGGGCTCTTCCTGGCCCCAGGGGCTCTTCGTGGCCACTGTCCGGTCTCCTCACACCCAGTGATGCTCCGTGGGGCTGGAGCCCCCTCCAGGCAGCTTCTCTCTCTGTCCTGGCTCTGGGGTTGGAGGTGCTGYCACCCCTGGGGAGGTGAAGACCCACCGTGGAGCTCTGTGCTCCTGCTGGCCGTGCTGGGCAGTGTTCAAGTAGAAAAAGCACATGGAGAGCACAGGRGGTAATTTCTCTGCTGAGCTCCATCGATCTGAGCTGCTGGCTCTTCCTGAACCAGGAGATCTGTTTTGAGGTGAATATTCTTCAAAGGATTTGTTTTTCCTGTGGATTTCTCCCACC